ACACCTTTTATGGGGGCTCCTATTCCTCAAAGTGTATGCAACATCCGAAGAGGTAAACTGTTCGATAGTCGGATGGCCCCACAGTGATACCTTCAGAAAGTGGTCCTGGTACTTTGTGAGGAAGATCTTTGAGCTTCAGTCAGACGTGATTKTTTGGGAGAACAGATTCATTGGTCAACCTCAATCTTCAACCGGGGAGTACTTGCCACAGGCAGATTGCATGATTTCTGTTGACTGGACTGACTGTCCATGCTACGAGCCTTATCCATTCAGCACAGAAATGTATTCAGAGAAATTTAATGGTCCAGCTATTAGATATGAAGTTGGAATCTGTATCGCAACTAGTTATATTGTCTGGATTAATGGCCCCTTTCCTGCAGGCACTTCAGAGAAGGGAATCTTTGACAGTGAGCTTTCGAAAAGGCTTGAGGACTGGGAAATGGTTGAAGCAGATAGTGGACTGAGGGGAACACTTAAAGCAAAGACACCGAATCAGGGGATCGACACCAAGCAAAGAAAAGAAAAGTCGATCATCCGGGGACGGCATGAAAATATCAATGGAAGACTAAAGATCTTTAATGTATTGAATGCTTCATTCCATCACACAGAAGGAAGAGACAGAGAAATAATGATAGGGAAGCATGGAATGTGCTTTGCAGCTGTGGCAGTGATCACTCAGCTGAAGCTTGAGCAAGAAGGGGGACTGTATCACGTCGACTACGACGTCCGGTACACGTGAAAGCCTCAGCATTATAGCATAGATTTTCTGTAGCAAGGAAACGTCATACACAGAGATCCACCAGTTCAAATGACACAACTCTAGCAATACTGATATTCCTAGTACTCTGCGAACTAGAGCTGTCCTAGAGGTTTCATTGTCAGTTGCACTGTTCGTATCACCAAAGCGTCGTGGCACTGATTTCTAGTACAAAATCTGTGTACACCAGTAGGATCCCTCTGTTTGTTGCTCACAACCAGTCAGTTTTGGGTCAACAACACTAGACTCCAGTAGGATTTTGAACTAGCAATCAAAACCAATCGATTTGGAGCAAAATTGACAGTATATTGCCTTGACTTGCATATTTTCTCGTAGATTTCTACACAGGTTTTGTACCACAGACCTTCCAAAAGACTGATCCTTGGTCCTCGCTGAGCAGCTGGGCAGATCAGTCAGCTGCTCGCCTGCTGGTGTGCAGCTTGAAGTAGTTTTGGGCACACGTAATAGGCCCCAGTAGGATTTTGAACGCGCAATCAAAACCAATCTTTTTTGAGCAAAATCTGCAGGGTATACCCTTGATATGCTAAATTCTACGATAACTTTGTGTAGAACTTATACTACAGAATTTGGCAAATCCAGTTTTTTCTCCAGTTAGCTCAACGCTCAGTTTTTGGCACTGTACCACTGTACAAACACGTACTGACTCAACAAAACAGCACTCTTTTGTCCAAGCAAACAAACGCTCCTTCGTACTCGTTTTCCATTACAGCTACTAAGACCACTCTCCCCTCTCCTGTCCTCACTCGTGCTGCACTGGAGGTACATAAATATTGAATTAGTTTTGCGTTATATTTTTGGTTCCTCTACGCTATTCTGCTGTGTTGTTGCTATTTCTGGTTGCTCATCATAGCGCAGGAGGATCATCCACCACTGCTGTTGAACTTCAACAATTCGGACTGTAATTCTTTGATCCCCCTTTCCAGTGTTGCCACTGGATCAAGATCTTTGTCTGATTCAAATGATTCATTGATAGACTCGCAGCTTGCAACCGACAGAGTCGATTCCTGTTCTTCTTTCAGCAGCAGTCATTTCATGGTGGTATCGTCCCCTGCTCCTCGTTCATCGCCTGCTCCTAGTTTATCGCCTACGACATTGTTATGAGGGGGAATTATGTGGTGAGTTTGATGTCTTTTACGGGAATACTCCCTTTCATCCATGGTGTCTGTAAATGCAGCAGGAAGATCTGGAGCAGCAAATGGTACAATCGCGGACAAGGATGAATCTTTCTTTTTGCTAATTCGCCCTGTCTTTTTCTGTTGCGCCTCCTCCGCAGGAGCAATCTTCTTCTTCACGACTTCCTCCTGCTGCCGCTGATCATCAATCTTTCTACCACTCGGTTCCTTACCTAGAGTAGCAGCACGTCCACCTACATGGATGCGCTGGTTCACCTTCTTCGATCCAATATCAGCTTCAGCAATTATCTGAAGGACCTTGATAATATTTCCTGGTGGAAGGGTCTCGTCGATCCCCTTGTCAAGATCATCTTCAGTTACACTGATTTCGATGACATCCACGTGAACCGCAGTCTTATCAGTACACATGGGTGTTGCGAACTGGATTGTGATGCTATCTTCAATGATCTTTTGCTTCAAGGGCTGACCGAAATCATCTTTCTTGTAGAGGTTCTTGAGATAGCGTCTCATAGTTCTAATGACAGCATGCTTCCCATCAAACTGGTGCTTCTGTCCCTCTTGAATTGCAACATGCCTAGAGACCTTCTTGAACCACTTGGGCCAGCGAATGGTGAGCTGAAGGTTGAAGGGATCAAGCCACTCGGGGATGATGAGATCAGCATGAATGGCGTTGTGCATGATCATTCGGATCATGGTGAAGACCTGATCTTCATACTCTTCATCAGAGGAATCATCTTCGTTGGTATCCTGTGAGTCCCAAGTTCCTATGATGGTGGGATAGGCACTCCCCAAGATTCGTACGTGACTTCCATCATCAAGGGACATGCTGTTTGCAGCATCCACGAGATCGTCGATGGTTGTTGCTTGCATTGCTGCAGGAACTGCAGGAGAAGGCTGCTGTTTCTTTGCGGAGGATGACATGGTACCGACAGGCATTGTCGTCGTTTCTTTGCGTCTTGGGGAGAAGACCAGAGGAGGGGAGAAGACCRGAGGAGGGGAGATCAACGGAGGTGTTTTTTTGGGCAAAGAGAACAAGCTTCTTCTTGGTGTTGGTTGTGGTGAACTGAAGCGCACAGCACGATTTTGCTCCTCAGCAACGGCAGGAGTCAAAGTTGTGGTGGTAGTGGTTGCAGCAGGAGTGGTCGGAGCGCCGGCAGCAAGAGCAGATGATGGTGTTCTTGGAACACCCTCAACAACTGGTTCTTCTAGTGTGTAGTTGACTTTGATCAGCTCTTCTGCAAGAAGACTTAATTTCTAGTATGGTCAAACTGTTGTGTGAGTAACAAAGAGCAAACGCATTCCACCAGGGCCACGCCAAGCATCTACGGCCACGACTTCTTACCTTCCCTCGATTATAGAATGTAGATGCAGTCTTCCAATTCTGATGTATCACTTTGAAATGTCTCCAGTGCTCTGTAGAACCAGATTTCTTGGTATCCCAACCTTCAGTTCCCTCTGTCTTGATATAGATCCAGTAGAAGTACACTACAAGCTGCTCAATAGCTGATAGCCTTTGATACGACGTCTCTGGTGGCTGTCCTTTTCTTATTCTGCTTCTTGCTCCAAGCGTCCTTGCCATCGAGCAACTGCTTCTTTATTGGAGGTGACGATGGTGCTTACTGTATTACAGCTGCTTGTTTGATTTTATGGTGGGATATCATGATGATACAGCAGCTGGTTCAGTACTAGTAATACTCCTAGTAGTAGTAGTACTAGTAGTAGTATTACACCGTGTTGGAGAAGCAGAAACTGTTAGCAACAGCAGTTCCTCACGATTAAAGTGCTGTCCAGCGTGTCGTTGATTGAAGACCATTCCAAGATCACCCACTGAAATATTAAAATTTATTAAGCTGAAAATAAAATTTTATTATTCAAATAAAAAAATCATAATAAAATTTTATTAACAGCGTAATAAAATTTTATTAACAGCATAATAAAATTTTATTATCGGCGAAGTAACATTAGTTTCATTTACTTAGGCCTCCCCTAAAAATTGAATGACATAATGACCCCAAAATAGAATACGGCCGTTTTACAAGAAAATGGAGGTCGCGCGCGATGAAATTGGACGTCATCTGTTGAGTTTAGTCATACGGGACTGATTTGACCTGGAATCGGGTGCTTTCCTGGAATCGGGTGCTCTCCAGTAATTTTCAACTAGTAGTATTATTTTCAACTTTCACGAAGCAAAAAAAAAATTCGGTACGAGCTCAGTCACGTAAGAGTTCGTAACCGAATGATACGATTACTAGTAAGTGAAAAAAATCTTCTTCCGTACCGGTAGATGCCGTCCAACGAAAGAAAATATCTTTTCTTTCCGTATGATTTATCGATGGAACTTGGTCTTCGACTTTGGGATCGGACCGGCTTGGTTGTAAACACAATAGGTTGTCCCGATAATCCTGCTCTCACCTGCCAGGCTCGTGCACAGGAAGGAGAGATTTTCGGAGAGTTTCCGCCTCGAAGTCTCTTGAAGAAATATACAAAATTCCCCGTAGTCGTCCCAAGTTCGACACCTTCATATGAGGCATCGTACACTAGCGCCTTTCTCGAAGAACAAGGCCAAATGCAAGCGGGTGGTAGGATGGGGTCATTTTTAGAGAATTGTCTAACGTCTCGGTCAAAGGACATTGTATGATTTTGTACCAGTACCTTTTGGGTGCCACCATGGAAAATCCAAGCTAGGATTTGGTACAAGCCGCACGACCGTGTGGGGATTAGAGCGGCCTCCTTTAGGAACAACTACGTATCTTAGATACAAGTCATGTCTTGACGACTTCGCCCCTTATCTCATGGTATTTTTTGCGACGAATGCCCAATCCCAAGTCATTGTTGTGACCGACAATGTAGACACCAATACATTTTGCGACAGACACGGAATATTGACTTCAAACATTGTAAACAAAAAGCCTCATTTGATGCCGGGAGATAACTTTATTTCTATCTCACTTTATTTCGCGAGTTTGTATCCGAGAAAAGTGGCTAAGGATGGCTTGATAACTTGATACTCCAAAGGAGGGGGTAATCAATAAAAAGAGCAATAGTAGGGAAGCATATATTTACATCAAAATAGTGGTAGGAGTCGTAAGTAAGTAACATATTTTTTATTTTAGTATCAGTATCAATTTCGCCTTAGTTGCTTTCTGCTTTCTGCGTTTTGACCTGTTCCAAAAGTCCTAAGAAAAGCGGATTTGGTTTCTCCGGTCTTGATGTAAATTCAGGATGCTTCAAATGGGACAAAAAGAAGCCGCACGTCAACGGAGAAGAAATTACAAATTAGAAAAAATGATTTCGAAAGACAAAAGAAGTTGGTATTTGTGGTGTTTCCAAACTTACAAATTGTGCAGCTATGAAATACGGATGGTCGCTCCTATCAAGTTCAATAACCTCCATTCTCTCTCCACTCTTGTCGGTGTTCTTCCCACTGAATCGAAGACCCAAGGCTTCTAGTCGATCCACTAAAGCCGGATTGACTTCATATCGATGTCGATGTCTCTCCATAATATTTTTGCTTCCGTATATTTCTCTAGCAATAGAGCCCTCCCTCAACGTCGTCTCCCGTGCACCCAATCTCATTGTACCACCCATTCTTGTGCGATCTCCTTCCGGCATAAATATAATGATGTCTTCCTCGTCTGGTTTCAGATCATCCTTAAATTCAGCACTATGAGCATTTGAAATATCCGCATGAGATCTTGCAAATTCTACCACTGCAGCCTGCATACCCAGACAAATACCTAAAAATGGGGTTTTATTCTCTCGAGCTGAGCGAATGGCTGCAACCTTGCCTTCGAAACCTCGTGATCCGAAGCCGCCAGGCACGACGACACCATCACAAGCCGCAAATCGTTCCAAGGTGGCTTCTACATTTTCCTCTAGGTCAGAAGAGTCGATAAATTCAATGTTCAGCTTTTGTTTCGTCGCAATTGCCGCGTGAGTTAGAGCCTTGACTACTGACAAATAAGCATCTCCTTGTTCAATATATTTGCCGCAAACGGCTATTGAGCATTCACTTTCCGGGGTATCAACAGCATCTGCTAGTTCCTTCCAGTCTTGGATAACTTTTGAGTTTTCAATGTTGCACAATTCTTCTTCGGATTCGTGGTACGCGACCCCTTTCGGTGGTTCGAATTGTGGCAATGGCAATCGCAATCTCTGAGCCAGCATGCTCGGAATATTTTGCTCCATCATGACAAGCGGAACGCGGTAAATATTGCTGACATCGTAAAGAGAGATGATTGCCGATTTAGGAACGGATGTCATTATGGAGAGCTTCTTGCGTGCTCCATCTTCGATTGGGTTGCTTCCGCGAACGCACAAGAAATCTGGTCGCAGACCCAGTTGCATCATGGTTTTGACAGAATGCTGCGTTGGTTTAGTCTTTTGCTCCCCGTTGATTTCTGGAACAAGAGACACGTGAAGGAAACACATATTTTTGTAGCCTACATTCTCTTGGAGTTGCCGCAACGCCTCGACAAATGGCATCGACTCAATGTCTCCCAGCGTTCCGCCCAGCTCGACGATGCAAATTTCAGGTGGTAAATTTCCGTCCTCCGTCTCTTTGGATTGAGCGACTGGCTCCTTTGCAACATTCAACACCCATTCCTGTATAGCGTCACTCACGTGGGGGACGACCTGCACGGTCTTACCAAGGTATTCACCCACCCTTTCTCGTTCGATTACCTGTTGATAGATCTTCCCGGTGGATAGGTTGGACTCCCGGGTTAGAAAAACGCTCAAAAATCGCTCGTAATTCCCCAAATCTAGGTCGCATTCGCCTCCATCGTCCAAGACAAATACTTCTCCGTGTTCGATCGGACTCATGGTTCCTGCATCTACGTTTAAATATGGATCAATTTTTAATGCGGTGACGCGCAGCCCCATTCCACGAAACAAGACACCCAGCGAAGATGCTGTGACCCCCTTCCCAATTCCAGAAACGACACCACCAGTGACGATTACCTGTCAAGATTTCAAAAGGATTTGCAACATTGAATTCAGTCTCTTAGTGAGAAAATGCACCCGCCTATGTGTTCTTCAACGATAATGTTCCACAACGTGCACCGAGGGAGATACTGCCTGCTTGAAAATTACACGAGTCACTGACCAGTTTCCGGTTCGATTCGATCGTCTCATCAACGAGTTCCTGTAGGGTAGCCCGGGGCCCGTCGTTTGCTCCGGCTCGAAGAAGACTTTGCGATGCCGACGGTGAATGCGACCATCGCCGACTCGTAGGTTGTACGGAAAAGGCGTCGGCCTCGATCGATCTCTTCAAGAAAGCGACGCAACAGATGAAACAAACAGTGAAACAATTCTTTCGAAACTCCGACATGGTAGTATTTTTTGGACGCCGAGGTGGTTTGGCGTTGGCTATGGTCGATGAGGCGTCTCGCTTCGTGCGACAATGCTCATCCTTGCCGTAGCTCAAAAGTTGTCAGTTCCATTCGTTGCGGTACGTAATGTATCGTACGGTGTCGTAGTCAGACAGAAAAGATGATGGATGGGATGGAGTTCTGTTATTTCCAGCAACGAAAAAATCGGGCATCAACAAAAAATCCGTTCGGATGATGTGTGACGGTTGATGGTTTGCGCGCATTTCGCGCAGTTGTCCTCAATACTGACGACGGAAAGACATGCCTCGTTCACTTTTTCACACCATACAAGGAGCGCAACTTTGACGGAGCGATTCAAAAAGGAGCTCTGCTTGGTTTCAACCAAAATACCAGCCGGGTACGGTACATGTGGTACTTCCTAGTACTATGGGTGGGTCCGAGCAAGACTTGTACTGAATGCTACGGAGCCGCAGTCAAGTAATTTGTAGCTGCCTACCTCTCTGTCCCCGCAGTTTTTGCCAACAGAAAGGCTAGGAACCGAAACAGAAACAGCAGTCGTTCACTCGGATCGATTCTGAAAAGTGCCTTGATATCGCAGGTTTCACCCGAGAGACGGCAAGACTTGCAACCATTCCTGCCACCGACCACACCGAAAAGTTTAGAAATCACGCAACACGATGAGCGACGACGACGAGGACCCGATCGGAAGCAACGGAGGCTTTGACAACAACGGAGGCACCTTCGGAGAGGACGCCGACGAGGACGAAGAGAACCGACAGCTCGAGGACCGAGAGGACGACTATGGCGATGGAGACGACKACGACATGCTGGATGTCACCGGAGACCGCGACGATGACGTGATGACCGAGGGCAACGACCTGCTGGTTTCGACGGGGACGGCGGCCGCCGAGCGGGTCACCACCCGCTACCTCACCAAATATGAGAGGGCACGGGTTCTCGGGACGCGGGCCCTGCAAATCAGTATGAATGCCCCCGTGATGGTGGACCTGGACGGGGAAACGGACCCATTGCGCATTGCCGAGAAGGAACTTCGGGAACGAAAGATTCCTATCATCGTCAGACGATACCTTCCGGACGGGAGCCACGAGGATTGGGGCATCGACGAGCTCATTGTAGATTAAATTGTACCGGCTAAGATAAGCTTCGGTTGGAAACTATTTCAATTCCTGTGCACTCAGACTTTTAGTGCTATGTTGTTATTTTAAATACAATTACACCGAGCACTGAGGATTTTGATACGGGTGACAAAAAACCGTGCCAATTGCTCGTACCCCTCGACCAAACCATTCGTTCTTAATTCTGGTTGGTTTGAGGACGGGGACAGAGTATAAGGCGATCAAAGGACTTTACGATTCCCTTTTCCTCTGCTTCTTGCACTGGCATTGAAACCTCGGAGATTGCTTGGTACCTCGACCCTTCTCTGGGTACCAAAAACCGCCACTCGTCGGATGTGCCAGCAATGGTAGCGATGTACTGCAGGACCCGTTCGATTGGATCCTTCTTCGACAAGAAGCAACACTCGGAAACAGGGTCTCCTCCGGCCTTGGGAATCGAAACAACCTCCAAAAAGAATCGTTCGTCGATGTTTAGTTTCTTGTTGCCCTTGGACTTTGATTTCATTTTCATCTGGCGCACCTTCAGAGCAGCAGCCGAGGCCTTCTTGGTGGATGCCGTTTTCTTTTTTCCTTTGTTATTCAGAACTTCCATCTTCTGAATAGCATCTGTGAGAAGCGCATCTTCAAGCGTCGTTGTGGCGTCGGCATCTACACCATCCGGACTAGAAGTAGTTTCTTCCTCGACATCCATTGGAACGGTTACCGGCTCTGTCGCCACGCTTTCTGACTTTGTTGTGGCTACAACATCATTTTCATCTTCGCTAGCAATTGTTTCGTTGTCGTGTTGGAGATCAAGCGTTGCATCCTCTCGATCTTTGTACCATCGAACGATCAACATGTCGTCCAGATAATTGGCGTTGCTTTTGGACAACGATAAATACCCTTCGCGAATAGCCTCGTACACCCTCATAGTTACCGGGAAACGACGATGGATCAGCGATTGGGTCTGCGGATCTTTGGCGTTAGCTGCTGGTCGCCGACACAAGACTTCGCCGAAGAGATTCTTTTTCTCCGAAGGATTCTGGAAACTATTGGCAATTTTGGCGAAGGTATCCTGTGGAGAGAAATAACGATACTCTTTGGACGAACCGCTGTTTTCGGCTGCACTGGTGCCGGTAGGATTCCCGTTGTCGACATCGTTGTCGTTGTCGTTGCCGGCGTTTTCGCCGTCAACGATAACCAGGCACTGGCAATAGAGCCGGTCCTGCTGCTTGAGGTTCTTGTCTCCCGTTGCCCTAGATTTTACCAGCATCCGGAGCACCTGGTCCGATGTTTTCTTCTTTTTGTTCTGCTTGCCGGCCTTTGATTGCTCTTCCAGCACCGCGATCCTCCGTTCGAGCTTGGCGCCGCGTTCTCTTTCTTTTTGGAGGCGGTCCTGGCGAGGGATCTTCCGGGGCGCCGCCACCCCGGGGGCTTCCCCCCGCTCCTCGACGGCAAACCGGTTCGCCACGGTTTCTACGACCCGCGAGGGGAGCKGGACACCGCGGGTGCCTCCGCCTCCGGACCGGAGGTTCGGATCAAGGAACTCGACCCGGCCGCCAAGGATGGGTCCGGTGGTGCCGGCAACGGGGGTGTTGTACTGTGCGTCGGCGTAGGCATCGGTCGATGAGCCGGAGAGCCCGCCCGGTTCCGTTCCTCTCGGAACCGCAACCCACGTGCCAGAAGGAAACCAGCCCGCGGCATGGAGGGTCTTGCTTCTGGGGCCCTGGAGGTCCGGGTACTCTTTCCTGGGCCAGGAGGTGATATCTCTGGGAGGATGGAGGGTGAAGTCCCAGAGGCAAAAGCCGACGGTCGGTGGGTCTCCGGGCGACGGCGATAACGACGGGGCATCGCCACCAAAGAACAGATGTTTCAGCAAGGGATTCCCCTCGGCAACCTCCCGGACGGTGGTGTCGGCGGAATACGTCGTCGAAAACACCACCGCCTTGTCGCTGTGGGAAATGCTCGCAGAAGAAGACCCATCGGCACCGTCTGCCGCGAGTTTGTCGGTGGGATACGAAGCAAAAAGACTCCTGGCGACCGAGATCCGGATCCTACAGTCCCCCATTGTTTGCGTGATGCGGTTGTTGGACACCTCAGAACAGCAAGACAAGTCAATGGACGATCGCGGACGGTATAGGAACCGAAAGACTCTTCTGCCGGAACAGATTACTCTATCGTAGGACGCCTTGAGAAAAGTGAGGGACAATGGGTCGAAGAATACGAGTAGGATACGAGTACCCCATTTTTGCAACCGATATTGCAAAACGGTGGAAGGAGTCTATCAGTACTTAAAATACGTACATTTCTACGTAGGCTATAATACCCCAACTGATCCCACTCCATTTACCACCGTACTCACATTTCCTACATAAATTCTGGTAGGAATTCTACTGTGCAACCGTATCAACTTTTCTGCTGTGGTCGCATCCGCACCTCTTTTGGTTGCATAACACAGAGCAATTTACACTGAGTATGCAACCATTTTGCAACTCCTTTTTGCCTCGTCACGAGAGGTGCATTTTTTTGCTCACAAAATACGAAGAAACCAACGCGTGCTTTTGCATACGAGTACCGGTTCAAGCAAAACCCCAAGCAAGAAGAACAAGGAAGCAAATACTGTAAGTATCGAAAAACAGCAGCACAGCACACCAGCAGCAGTACACAGCCMCCTGACTCACGAGAGGTGCCTTTTTTGCTCACAAAATAACAGCAACGACGCTCGCATACGAGGTTCGCATACGAGTATCGAGTATTGGTGCATAGCTACGAGTACTACCGGTTCAAGCAAAACCCCAACCAAGCAAGAACAAGAAGCAAGCATCGAAAACTACTACAAGTAGTAACTATCAAAAAACAGCAGCAGCAACAAGCAAAAAATGGTAACAGCTCAACAGGCGGACGCGCAGCGTCGTCAGCAGCGTCCCCGTGCTCGGAAAAGAAGGGGCGGGACTGTAACGCCTCCACGAGATGTGAACCAGCCAGGGCAATGGGGGAGATACCACAAGGTGCTGCTTGAGTTAATGGATCATGTACATGGAAGAGTAGATGAAGGAGGCCCTGTTGAAAATGATAATCGCTTTCCAAGTGATACACTATTCACGCCGGAGCAGCTAAGTGTCGTGACACCAGATCATATCTACAAATTCTTTGCAAAGAAAGTCTATGGTAGGGAGGATCCTGGTGTGGATGATAAATCCTACTGAGGGAAGGAGTTCATCCCTTGTGTACTACAAGAAGGCGTTATCCTATTTCATGCCAAATAAGCTGCACAAGTGGACTGTTATTGGCGGTGTTGGCAGTGGAAATCCTACTAAGTCCCAGCAAGTGAATGATTTGATATCTGCTGTTATCAAGAAGGAAACCAGAGGACTTGGACAAGCCAGCAAGATGGATCGAGCGCTTACAAAGGATGAGTACATGTAAACACTCGAACTAATGGGAAACCATGGTCATTTAATTAAAAGACTTCGATATCTTGCAATGATTAAGTTTCAGTTTCATCTGATTGGTCGGAATGATGATACAGCACATGTTGGAAAGGACAGCTTGGAAAGGTCTGCTGAGTTTCCTAAATTCCTTACAGCAAAGATGAAGTGGTCAAAAAATGTAAGGGAGGAACGCGATTGCCCAAAACAAATCTTGCTTGGTTCCATGGATCATCGAGCTTGTGTTGTACTGGCGCTTGCCTTGTATCTTGAGAAGTGGTGCAAAGGAGGTGATGGAGCCGCAAGTCAATGGTTATTCACTGAAGGAGTTACGGATAGGAGATCACCACAAAAGGAAGTTGCAAAAGAGGTTAATAAAGGAAAGGCTGCATACTCTAATTTCATCAAGCGCCATGCATTTCAGAATCCTGTCTTTATTCCTGAAAGACCTACATCAGAAGGAAAACTTGGTACTCACTCCATTCGAAAGTTTGGCACAACATATGCTAGACAGTGTGGTTGCACAAGGGATGAGGTGGATTATAGAGCTTGATGGAAGTCGCGTCGGCAACAGGATCGATATACTGACACACAGCTTGCTTGGCCTGATATTAAAGTTGCTGCTAAGCTCAGCTTTGGAGGGATTTGCTACTACAAGCCTTTGCAAGGGACAGGGGTCACTGAYGAGTGGCTTGCTTCTTCAGTTGCTCCTAATATTGCCAAYGTGTTTGGTAACCAAGTCGCAGCAATTCTAGGAAAGGCCTTGCTTTGGGCTTGCTGTGATCCAGCAATGCAAGCATCTGGCTTGATTCCTGAGGATGTAAAGAGTGATGTTGTCGGTTCTTGGGTTCAACTCAATCACAGCCATGGTGCTTGTCGCTTAGATGCTGATGTGAATCCTATCAAGAAAGTTGAGCTGGTTGCTAATGAGATCGGTGGGCAGGTTCACTTCGATGAGCTTACTGATCCAGATGATCTGCTGAATAATGGTGCCGGAGGAGCCCCTGGAGCTGCTGGAGGGACTGCGGTTGGGATTCGTAGGAATCAGTTGCAGTGGAATCATGCAATGTTTTCTAAGCTGTTTGCCACAGCCAATCAAGTGAATGATATTAAGAACCGACAGATTGCAAGTGAAGCTAGGTTCAATCGGAAGCTTAATAAAGCCATTGAGTTGTCCCAAAGAGCTGCCATGGCACCAGTTGTAAGAAGGAGGCCTCCTCGTGCGTTGAACAGTGGCGCATCGGAAGCCAGTGGAAACGCCGAGCTGACAAAGTGTCCTCATGATCTTTATGTCCTGTGGAATGAATGGGAAGTGGGTGTTGGTCTTAATAAGCCTGCAAAGGAGTTCACMACTGCTGAGCGTGGTAGAGTGAAGAGCAAGTATTGCAGGAGGTTGAAGTTCTGGAAGTGCATGGAGAGGCTGATTTGTGCTGGTGCTTCTTCTGAAACTGCTGTTAGACAAATTTACACTGTGTATGGTGGTCCAACCAAGAAGGTCTCCTATATCCTTAGAGCCATGGCTCCCCATGAAGCTGTTGGGGGACACCACTTGCTTAGAGGACCGACTGTTGGTGGTGCTGCTTAATGGTGCTGCTTAATCGTCGCCGACGATTGACGCGTCGGACGCGTCGACGCTTCTTTGCTTGTTCTTCTTTGTTCTTTGTTCTTTGTCGTGTCTTCTTTCCTTACTACTTGTCCCCCCTCTTACATCGAAAAAACATAAAAATATAGTGTACTGTGTATATGTGAACTGTAGTACTGTATTTTGCTATCCTCACTAAGAGGACCATCTTGTTAGCTGACAGGAGTGTTGGTATCAGTGTTGTCGTTATCGACGTGATTGTCGAGAATTACTCTCCCGACTTGGTTGAAGGTATAGGAACCGAAAGACTCTCCTTCCGGAACGGATTTTGAGTACGAGTACTCTATCATAGGACGCCTTGAGAAAAGTGAGGGACAATGGGTCGAAGAATACGAGTACGATACGAGTACCAAATTTTTGCAACCGATATTGCAAAACGGTCGAAGGAGTCTATCGGTACTTAAAATACGTACATTTCTACGTAGGCTATAATACCCCAACTTATCCCACTCCATTTACTACCGTACTTACATGTTCTACATAAATTCTGGTAGGATTTCTACTGTGCAACCGTATYAGCTTTTCTGCTGTGGTYGCATCYGCACCTCTTTTGGTTGCCTAACACAKAGCAAATTACACTGARTATGCAACCATTTTGCAACTCCTTTGCCTCGTCACGAGAGGTGCATTTTCCTCGTCACGAGAGGTGCATTTTTTCGCTCACAAAATAAGAAACCAACGCTCACTTGCATGCAAGTACAAGTACCGGTTCAAGCAAAACCCCAAGCAAGAAGAAAGCAAATACTGCAACAAGAACAAGCAAATACTGTAAGTATCGACTGTAGCTAAGTATCGAAAAACAGCAGCACGACAGCCAGCAGCGATTAGTATCAAAAAACAGCAACACAGCCCCCTGACTCACGAGAGGTGCACTTTTTGCTCACAAAATAACAGCGACACTCGCATACGAGTATCGCAGGCCTACTACTACGAGTATCGCATACGAGTACCGGTTCAAGCAAAACCCCAAAACAGACAACAGCAGACAGCAGCCGTATTACTACGTAGTACTGCTACTACTAGTAGTAATGGTAACAGCACAAGCGCAAGAACGCACTGGTCGGCCCCGAGCTCGGAAAAGAAGGGGSGGGACTGTAACGCCTCCACGAGATGTGAACCAGCCAGAGCAATGGAGTAGATACCATAGGATTCTACTGGAGCTTATGGATCATGTACATGGAAGAGTGGATGAAGGAGGTCCTATTGAAAATGATAATCGCTTTCCAAGTGATACACTATTCACGCCGGAGCAGCTAAGTGTCGTGACACCAGATCATATATACAAATTCTTTGCAAAGAAAGTCTTTGGTAGGGAGGATCCTGGTGTC